CACACACACACACACACACACACACACACACACACACACACACGTTTTCTGCTTCATGTGGAACTGTGTTACTGTAGTTTTTTTCACTGAACATGTTAAAACACTCATTCAGTTATTTAATGGCAAAAGTAGGTTAAGCTCAAACTCAGAATTTAATCTGATTAGCTGAGATGTTTGATGATTTTACTGTTTGTATATAAATTAGACAGGTTTTTTTTGTTTTGTTTTTTTCGTGTGTGTGGTGACTAACCCCTCCCCGCTGCCTCCCCCGCCCCACTTTGTGCTGATGACTCATCCTGCAGGAGACTGAACCAAACACTGACTTTTGGAGCATTTTTCACTCATCCCCACCTCTCCTCTACTCTCTCAAACTGAACCCGACTCGCTCGGACCTTTCCTGGTCCTGAGGACTGAAACATACCTGGAACTCACTTGAAAGGTTGTCTGTTCGGTGGCTTGACGATGACGGACAGTTCGCTGTTCAGACACAGTCGATGAATTAGGTTTACTTGATGAAAGCCATGCACTGTAGGCTACATATGTGTATGCGTCGCTCTGACAAATACACCAGGAATGGAAACTTTGTAGCAGTAAAGAGAATAATAAATGAATTTGAAATGAAACAACCTTTACTTGCTCTTTTTTTTTGCCTGAGTTGTGTCATTTCACCAGTAGAGGACAGCATTGCTGTGGTGGCTTTAAAAAAAGGAAATAAGAGTCTGACTCTTGTTGTTTTGTATTATAGTTACATAATTATTAGAATAAAGCATAAGATGACATGGTATACCAATTATTCAGACCAAAGTTTTGTCTATCAATGCAAATTTATTAACACAGTCTCCATTATTATGTTTCAGCATAAAACAATATCTAAATCTTTAGTAACTGGAAAGGCTGAGCTAACATCCCCTTACGGGTTTCAAATATTTTCTGAGCAGATCTGAGGTCAGACAATCGCCCCCCTGAGGATTCATAAAGTGCATTTGTAGACGCATCAGTCTGAATGATCACACGGTGGTTTGATCAGCAGACATCAGCAGTGATTCTCTTCTCTGTCAATCAGATGATGTTCTGTCTGGAAAGGAAACAATGCCAAAAGGTAGTACAAMGTTTTTGTTTTATTTATGTCTTAATGATGTTTCAGCTTTCACAATACTGTTTTCCTTTTTATTATTTTCCCATTTTTACAATAATATAGAGAGGTTTTGCCACCTGACGTCAGGCCTTCTGCATATCTCATGGTATTTTAGTCATCCATCTATCAAAACATTCAGCTCATTCAGTTGATGGGTACTATTAACATCATAATCATCAGTCCCTTGGCCTTTTGCCACAGGAGTAGGACAAACATCACTCATCAGCAATCTCCACCTTGGCCGATCCTCAAKAASTCAGGTGAGGCCATKAAAAGGGAGCCTTGTCCAGATATGGATGTCATTTGCACATTAATGAGGAGGATGACCCCTTTTGTGAGTTCTGTCAACTTTACCTTGGTGGATCACATTTGGCAGAGTTCCCTTGGCCACCACGATGTGGGTGAACCATTTCAGTTTCTTCATCATAATCTGTTAGGAAGGAGTCATGATGTCCACTGAGAACAGGGACTCTACAGTAGACCTCAGCATTTATAGTGTGGGAGGACCAGTGAACCTGAAAGCAGGTGTCAGCATCCTTTTTTCTATCTCAGCGAGTCCAGAATTCTGTARCACAAAGAAGTACTTACAAAACACACATAACTAGGAGTCTAACTTTGGGAATCAGCAACACRGACAAAGACTCGAGTTAAGGGAATTGTTTGAGTTCTGTCTCAGTGATGMACACCATAACAGCCACCTGTTTACCGGACATCACCAATAGAGCAGGTACTYTTGATTTACACTGACTATAGTTGGAAAACACTTGTTGAAGTCATCACTGACGATTATTGGTTATTTATTATGACCGTATTCTTTGCTGCCTTGTACAGMGCAGATCATGCCTGTCTCCATTCTGAGTCATCACATAATTGTCTATAGATGGGTGTTATGAGTTGTGGTTTTTGGAGCTTTTGTACTGGACCCTGTAGCTGACCATGATGCCCTTTCCAACTAAAGACTAGTTSTCTAGTTGCTGGGCTTTTTTACGTTTTTGGATTTAACGGACGACTGAGAACCTAAACCAGCTTTCTCTTCAGATCCTTTTTCCATTTAAAATCTACTTCAGCATACTCACTTTTTTGTCTTCTTATGTCAGCTGGACTTTTTTATACTTTTAGCTAGCTTTTTACTACTTTTAGTTAGTTATTTGTTACATTTAGCTACTTTAATCTTTTAGCTAGCTACCCTGTGGAGGGGTCTCGATTGCAGATTGAGCTAAGTGAACACTTCACTTTATCCACCTGATCTACCTGGAGAGGTGGATCATGTGGAAGGATRTGTTTTTAATTTTGTTTTAGTTGGAATGCAGTTTGGTGAATTCTAGTTGAGCAGAGAATCTGGATTTTTTTATTGTTTTTTATTGAAATTTACTTTTATTGGTTACTGTCTTCCAGCCAGCTTGGGGTCCCGGCTGCACGGGGTCTGCTGGAGGAACGCTAACAGGAGAATGAGCTACTCTCGGTGGCTCCACGCTACCTGTCCTACCTTGCTAGCTGTTGATTTTTCAGCAGCACAGATCCGAACTCCTGTGAGGATGTGTGTTTTCTGTTGTCTTGTGTCTTGTCTGCAGTCTCCCTCTTGTGTCCGTTTCATGACATTACTCTTTCACCTCAGTTTCTCTCCTTTCTCCAGYTCTTTCCACCCACACCTGTCTTCACTTGTAATTAGCTCAGCTGTCTTTCATTTCCACTCACCTCTGTTAGTATATATTCTGCTCAGTTTCTCTTCATCCTCGTCTGTTCATTGTTTGGTTATCCGCCCTGGCTTCCATCTGTGTTCTCCTCGTGTTACCTGCTCGCTGTAAGTTTTTGTTTTGCCGCCCCGTCGGCTTATTTGTTTATTGTTTAATAAATATTTTTATTTTTGAAATCGCCTGCCTGCCTGTCTGCATTTGGGTCCGAACCTGCCACCAAACCTGTCAGCTTCCAGTTCAGACAGCCTAACCTCCAAAGACTCCAATAAGACTACATTTAATATTTGTATCACTATCGCTAAAGGAAGCAGAGGGGTAACTAAACATCTGACACACYGAGCAAGTAAGGATAGCAGAAGCTGGGAGAGATGAAGTACARTAGCGAAAGCTAGGAGATCCCAAATATACCAATAAAGCCAAGAGGTGAAGAAAGACTAAGTCTCAGTCACAATCACAATTCTAAGAAAATCTGTACTGAGGGTATTTTTGTACTAGAAGTAGAACTGTCTTAGATAATCCAGTAAGTCAAAAGATTTCTTGAGCAAACATTTCATGAGCTACCAGAAGTAAAACAGGAAGTAACACAATACGTCTTACTGCACAGGTGCCAGCAATGTGCAAATTTATTTAATTTACCTAATTCCTTTSTTTCATTTATGTAGCTTTTGATTGATTGATTGATCCCTAAGGGTTTTTATGATTGCAGTGCCTCCAGGGCAGAGGTCTTCAACTCTGTTCCTCATGACCCAATGTCCTACATGTTTTAGATGTTTCCCTGCTTCAACACACCTGACAGAAATGAATGAGTGATTGACAGGCTTCTGCTAAACCTCATGACATTCGTTCGTTCGTTCGTTAGTTCTCACTAAACACTGTTGCAGGCCCGAGTACCACAGCTCACTAACACAACAGCTCCGCACTCAAACCCGAGTGAACATAACGGCCTCTGGGAATCTGTGCACAGACTTTATGACGTACATGTATTGACAGCATCGGA